GAAGGCGTGGCTGCTTTGGAGCAGGCTGGGGATGAGGATGTTGGTGGTGGTGGTCGTGCTGCTGGTGGTGCTGCTGGTGATGATGCAGCTGCTGCTGGTGATGATGCAGCTGCTGCTGGTGATGATGCAGCTGCTGCTGGTGATGATGCAGCTGCTGCTGGTGCTGCTACTGGTGACAGTGGAGGTGTTGAGATCCTTCGAGGTGGTGTTGAGATCCTTCGAGGTGGTGGAGGTGTTGAGATCCTTCGAGGTGGTGGAGGTGTTGAGATCCTTCGAGGTGGTGGAGGTGTTGAGATCCTTCGAGGTGGTGGAGGTGTTGAGATCCTTCGAGGTGGTGGAGGTGTTGAGATCCTTCGAGGTGGTGGAGGTGCAGAGACTTTTGGAGTTGGCTTCCTCCCTTTCGATGGCTGCACGCGCTGCGCAGGCTGAGGTCTTAGGGAAAAAGAAAGGTTATCCATCAACACTTTTACTCCGTAAGTGTTCAGATGTGGCCCTTTCCCTTCAAAAAGCTCATGCCTATTCCAGAACAGATTAAAATTCTCAATGAAGGCAAGTCCTCTGCGTGAACATTCGTTGAGTAGGAAAGTATTTAGCTGATACAGACGACTGAATTTCATTTGCTTCCCGTCCACATTTGGTAGTGGGCCACTGATAACGATTGTTGTGTCCATTTTAGCAAGGTCGTCCAATAAGAGAGAGTAATCCCGTTTCAACTTTTCACTTGTGTTGTCATAGACGTCTACTGCCCCCACGTGGATCAACAATCTTTTTACCCCGCCGGTCTCAGACAGAAGCCTCGGAGCCAGCCGCCTTATCTCATCCACTTTGGCAGAGTGTACTGAGTGAACCTTGAGATTACGCATGTTTACATTTCTTATCGCCGAATCGCTGATAAAGAGCGACTCAGCTGCATTTGACCTTGACTGAGACTGAGACTGGGACTGAGAGGCTACTGCTGATTCATCTTCCAAAAGTGGTGAAAAGCGGTTTCTTGTAATTAAAGATTTTTGCTGTGGCATTATGACACTCTTGTTATCATTAGCTTTGCCTTGTTTGGGCTTGGCACCATATGTGTTCCAACAATTGTCTCTGTTGATTTTGGGAAATGAAATAGCGTCATCATAACTTACGTTCTGTCCATTTGGTCCATTTCCTTTCACTGGTATTGTTGTGTTCAGCCCCAATTCTGATTCAAGCACAAACATTCGGTCTTGAAGAAGTTTTAGCTCCTGTTTGAGTGAAAAACAGCCGTCGCAAAGTTTTGTTCTATTTTTCCGTCCTCCCGACATGCTGTAAGTTAGGTAAATTCCACAAGTCTTGTGTTGAAGTTTGTAAAAAGGAGTAATCCGTGTTTTGTGGAATAAAAATGTAAATATAAATGATTAAAGGAGATAAAAAAAGCAGCAAGCGAGGAGCAGCAAGAGAATGCGACTGCTCTGTCCAGAGCAGGAAGTACAATGTTTAGAGAGAGACCAGAGAGAGAGACCAGAGAGAGAGACCAAAGAGAGACCAAAGAGAGACCAAAGAGAGACCAGAGAGAGACCAGAGAGAGACCAGAGAGAGACCAGAGAGAGACCAGAGAGAGACCAGAGATAGACCAGAGAGAGACCAGAGTGAGACCAGAGAGAGACCAGAGAGAGACCAGAGAGAGATCAGCGAGAGACCAGAGAGTGAGACCAGAGAGAGACCAGAGAGAGACGAGAGACACACACACACACAAAGACACACACACACACATACACAGACACACACACACACACACAGACACACACAGAGACACACACACACACACACACACAGACTCTGATCTTTTAAGCTGAGAACCAAGAAACTTTAATAGAATTTATGGGATTTTGAGTCAACGATTAACACAGAGTCCTACAGAGGAACTAGGATTATCCCAGCAGAGAGGGGGGGAGGGGGGAGGGGGGAGAGAGAGGGAGAAGGAAGGGAGGAGGGAGAGGAGAGAGTTCTATGCTTTGATCTTTCTGAGGTCGTAGTAGAAAAGAGAAAGTATAAATATTGATACAGAACATTGGGAGCTATTTTCAGAACGAGTAACGATTGATTTGACACTAGTTTGGAGTCAGAAATATAGGACCAGGTTTTGAGTCTCTCTGGTCTCACTGTGCTCTGTCTATGGCTCTTCCTCTAGTCTCTCTCTGGTCTCTCTCTGGTCTCTCTCTCTGGTCTCTCTCTCTGGTCTCTCTCTGGTCTCTCTCTGGTCTCTCTCTGATCTCTCTCTCTGGTCTCTCTCTCTGGTCTCTCTCTGGTCTCTCTCTGGTCTCTCTCTGGTCTCCCTCTGGTCTCCCTCTGGTCTCCCTCTGGTCTCTCTCTGGTCTCTCTCTGGTCTCTCTCTGGTCTCTCTCTGGTCTCTCTCTGGTCTATCTCTGGTCTCTCTCTCTGGTCTCTCTCTCTGGTCTCTCTCTGGTCTCTCTCTGGTCTCTCTCTCTGGTCTCTCTCTCTGGTCTCTCTCTCTGGTCTCTCTCTGGTCTCTCTCTGGTCTCTCTCTGGTCTCTCTCTGGTCTCTCTCTGGTCTCTCTCTGGTCTCTCTCTGGTCCCTCTCTCTGGTCTCTCTCTCTGGTCTCTCTCTGGTCTCTCTCTGGTCTCTCTCTGGTCTCTCTCTGGTCCCTCTCTCTGGTCTCTCTCTGGTCTCTCTCTGGTCTCTCTCTGGTCTCTCTCTAGTCTCTCTCTCTGGTCTCTCTCTGGTCTCTCTGGTCTCTCTCTGGTCTCTCTCTGGTCTCTCTCTGGTCCCTCTCTCTGGTCTCTCTCTGGTCTCTCTCTGGTCTCTCTCTGGTCCCTCTCTCTGGTCTCTCTCTGGTCTCTCTCTGGTCTCTCTCTCTGGTCTCTCTCTGGTCTCTATGATGCTGATGTAACTTGTTTTATGTTAATCTTCCTCCAGTCTTACATGTTCTCGGTTGCCATGGTTACCACCGCGGCGTGAGACCAGCTCATTATTGCTGCACCAGAGCTGGACCTGGCGCCCGCTCTGGTCTCGCTCCGGTCTCTGGGTCTCAGGTCTAGTGGACTGATCCTCCTCATATGCGACCAGGGGAGCTCACAGGTCGGACTCTATTGTTTCGTTCTGGTCCTTCTAATCTCACTCTGGTCTCTCTCTGGTCTCTCTCTGGTCTCTCTTTGGTCTCTCTCTGGTCTCTCTCTGGTCTCTCTCTGGTCTCTCTCTGGTCTCTCTCTGGTCCCTCTCTGGTCTCACTCTGGTCCCTCTGGTCTCAATCTGGTCCTTCTAATCTCACTCTGGTCCCTCTCTGGTCTCTCTCTGGTCTCCCTCTGGTCCTTCTCTGGTCTGTCTCTGGTCCCTCTCTGGTCTCACTCTGGTCTCTCACTGGTCTCTCTCTGGTCTCCTTCTGGTCTCTCTCTCTGGTCACCCCATGGTCCCTCTCTGGTCTCACTCTGGTCCCTCTCTGTCTCTCTCTGGTCTCACTCTGGTCCCTCTCTGGTCTCCCTCTGGTCCCTCTCTGGTCTCTCTCTGGTCTCTCTCTGGTCTCTCTCTGGTCTCTCTCTGGTCTCTCTCTGGTCTCTCTCTGGTCCTTCTCTGGTCTCTCTCTGGTCCCTCTCTGGTCTCCCTCTGGTCCCTCTCTGGTCTCTCTCTGGTCTCTCTCTGGTCTCTCTCTGGTCTCACTCTGGTCCCTCTCTGTCTCTCTCTGGTCACTCTCTAGTCTCCTTCCGGTCTTTCTCTGGTCTCCCTCTGGTCCCTCTCTGGTCTCCCTCTGGTCCCTCTCTGGTCTCTCTCTGGTCTATCTCTGGTCCTTCTCTGGTCTCTCTCTGGTCCCTCTCTGGTCTCACTCTGGTCTCTCTCTGGTCTCTCTCTGGTCTCTCTGGTCTCTCTCTGGTCTCCTCTCTGGTCCTCTCTGGTCTCACTCTGGTCCCTCTCTGGTCTCTCTCTGGTCTCTCTCTGGTCTCCTTCCTGTCTTTCTCTGGTATCCCTCTGGTCCCTCTCTGGTCTCCCTCTGGTCCCTCCCTGGTCTCTCTCTGGTCTATCTCTGGTCTTACTCTGGTCTCTCTCTGGTCTCTCTCTGGTCTCCCTCAGGTCTCTCTCTGGTCTCTCTCTCTGGTCTCACTCTGGTCTCTCTCTGGTCTCACTCTGGTCCCTCTCTGGTCTCACTCTGGTCCCTCTCTGGTCTCACTCTGGTCTCTCTCTGGTCTCACTCTGGTCCCTCTCTGGTCTCACTCTGGTCTCACTCAAGGCACTGTATACAGAGACATGTATACAGAGACATGTATACAGAAACATGTATACTGAGACATGTACAGTGTCTTGCGAAAGTATTCGCCCCCCTTGAACCTTTCAACATGTCGCCACATTTCAGGCTTCAAACATAAAGATATAAAAATTACATTTTTTGTCAAGAATCAACAACAAGTGGGACACAATCGTGAAGTGGAACAAAATTTATTGGATAATTTAAACTTTTTTAAATGTATACAGAGACATGTATACAGAGACATGTATACAGAGACATGTGTACAAAGACATGTATACTGAGACATGTATACATAGACATGTGTGCAGAGACATGTATACTGAGACATCTATACTGAGACATGTATACTGAGACATGTATACAGAGACATGTATACAGAGACATGTATACAGAGACATGTATACAGAGACATGTATACAGAGACATGTATACAGAGACATGTATACAGAGACATGTATACAGAGACATGTATACAGAGACATGTATACAGAGACATGTATACAGAGACATGTATACAGAGACATGTATACAGAGACATGTGTACTGAGACATGTATACAGAGACATGTATACAGAGACATGTATACAGAGACATGTATACTGAGACATGTACACTGAGACATGTATACAGAGACATGTATACAGAGACATGTGTACTGAGACATGTATACAGAGACATGTATACAGAGACATGTATACAGAGACATGTATACAGAGACATGTATACAGAGACATGTATACAGAGACATGTATACTGAGACATGTATACAGAGAGTACCTTTGAGAGGGAGGGCGTCCACAGAGAAGGACGGTCGCTCCAGCTGCAAACAGAAGATAAACATGAATCACTTTTTATCACAGAGCGAGACCAGAGAGAGACCAGAGCGAGACCAGAGAGAGACCAGAGAGACCAGAGAGACCAGAGGGAGAACAAAGTGAGAGAACAGAGTGAGAGACCAGAGTGAGAGACCAGAGTGAGAGACCAGAGTGAGAGAACAGAGTGAGAGAACAGAGTGAGAGACCAGAGTGAGAGACCAGAGGGAGAGAACAGAGTGAGAGACCAGAGTGAGAGAACAGAGTGAGAGACCAGAGTGAGAGAACAGAGTGAGAGACCAGAGGGAGAGACCAGAGTGAGAGAACAGAGTGAGAGACCAGAGGGAGAGAACAGAGTGAGAGACCAGAGTGAGAGAACAGAGTGAGAGACCAGAGTGAGAGAACAGAGTGAGAGACCAGAGGGAGAGACCAGAGTGAGAGAACAGAGTGAGAGAACAGAGTGAGAGAACAGAGTGAGAGAACAGAGTGAGAGACCAGAGGGAGAGAACAGAGTGAGAGAACAGAGTGAGAGACCAGAGGGAGAGACCAGAGTGAGAGAACAGAGTGCGAGACCAGAGTGAGAGAACAGAGTGAGAGACCAGAGTGAGAGACCAGAGTGAGAGACCAGAGTGAGAGACCAGAGTGAGAGAACAGAGTGCGAGACCAGAGTGAGAGACCAGAGGGAGAGAACAGAGTGAGAGAACAGAGTGAGAGAACAGAGTGAGAGAACAGAGTGAGAGACCAGAGTGAGAGACCAGAGTGAGAGACCAGAGGGAGAGAACAGAGTGAGAGACCAGAGTGAGAGACCAGAGGGAGAGAACAGAGTGAGAGACCAGAGGGAGAGAACAGAGTGAGAGACCAGAGTGAGAGACCAGAGTGAGAGACCAGAGTGAAAGACCACAACAGCCTGTTAGGTACAGTGCACTCACGGGGAAGGGAGTGTTTCCTTCCTGGATCACGAAACCCTCGATGAAATGGGTGAGGATGGGGGAGTGAGGGGGGTGCTCCGGGTGGCTCTCTGCGCCGCTCCCGGAGGTCATCGCGGGGTCTGGGTCTGGGTCCGGTCTGGATCTGAATCAGAGGGGACTGGGTCTATGTGGAACCCAGGACCCTATGGGGGACCAACCCACCACAGTGGCAGGACAGTCTGGATCTGGGTCTATTACAGTCTATGGTCTAAACTCGGTCTCAACTTCTGGCCGTGGTACGCGCGTGCATGTGCGCGTCCACAGCCCTCGGTCCCAGGATTTCTTCTTCCACACGTGCACGACACTTTCAGCGTAAACACAGTCTCTACGCTCTGGTCTTGCTGGTCTCTCTGGTCTCTCTGGTCTCTCTGGTCTCTCTGGTCTCTCTGGTCTTGCTGGTCTCTCTGGTCTCTCTGGTCTCTCTGGTCTCTCTGGTCTCTCTGGTCTCTCTGGTCTCTCTGGTCTCTCTGGTCTTGCTGGTCTCTCTGGTCTCTCTGGTCTCTCTGGTCTCTCTGGTCTCTCTGGTCTCTCTGGTCTCTCTGGTCTCTCTGGTCTCTCTGGTCTCTCTGGTCTCACGGTAACAATAGCAGATGGAGAGCTCTTTGTTCCCGGTCCCCACAGCGCGCTCCCGGTCCCCCGCGACTCTCCAGTTCTGTGCGTGTGATCGTGCACGTCACCGCGTCCCCGTGCGCGCGCCTAGGTCCGCGGGAGGTTTCGTCACAAACTTCACAAGTTTATTTTTCCAACGTCAGGAGCGGGACAACAGGCTCTCAGCGCGTCAGCTCCCCACGTCCGGCCGCAGCCTGTCACAATAAGAGCCCGGAGACTGTCACAATAAGAGCCCGGAGACTGTCACAATAAGAGCCCCGAGACTGTCACAATAAGAGCCCGGAGACTGTCACAATAAGAGCCCCGAGACTGTCACAATAAGAGCCCGGAGACTGTCACAATAAGAGCCCCGAGACTGTCACAATAAGAGCCCGGAGACTGTCACAATAAGAGCCCGGAGACTGTCACAATAAGAGCCCAATAAGAGCCCCGAGACTGTCACAATAAGAGCTCCGAGACTGTCACAATAAGAGCCCCGAGACTGTCACAATAAGAGCCCAGAGACTGTCACAATAAGAGCTCCGAGACTGTCACAATAAGAGCCCCGAGACTGTCACAATAAGAGCCCAGAGACTGTCACAATAAGAGCCCCGAGACTGTCACAATAAGAGCCCGGAGACTGTCACAATAAGAGCCCCGAGACTGTCACAATAAGAGCCCGGAGACTGTCACAATAAGAGCCCGGAGACTGTCACAATAAGAGCCCAGAGACCTCTCACCTTAGCTGTCTTCCAAATAGCCTGTCGGAGGCTTCTATCTCACTACTTCTTAAAAAGGACCCTTTACTCTGCAGCAGTTAAAGGGCAATATCGCTCTTGAAGGTCCACTTGAAAGATATTGTCACAAATTCTTGCTTCCCGTCTTCAACTTGTTCTGTCGCCGCTTATCGGGTTGGATCAGACGGGTTTCATGCCGGGTCGACATTCCTCATTGAATACCAGACGCCTTTTTGATATCATCACTTCAGCTAGTTCTCTGGTCCCGGAGGTCGTAGTGTCCCCAGATGCAGAGAAGGCCTTTGACAGGGTTGAATGGAGCTTTTTGTAAAGTGTATTGGCCAGGTTTGGACTGGGCACAGCTTTCACTGACTGGGTTAAGCTTCTTTACACATCTCCAAAGTCTTCAGTTCGAACCAATGACAACATATCCCATCCTTTTCTAACACATCGTGGCACTAGGCAAGGTTGTCCACTTCCCCCATTGCTATGTATTGTGGTAGTAGAACCCTCAGCTCTCTGGTTACGTTCAGAGGCCAAATTACATGGAATTACACGCTTAACGCTGTTCATAAGGTTTCTTTATTCGCAGACGACCTCCTTCTTTATGTCTCAGATCCGGCCTTTTCTTTTCCTACAATTCTAAACATTTTAAGTGAATCTAGCAGCATTTATGGATAAAAACTCAATTATCAGAAAAGTGAGCTGTTTCCTGTTTACGATTCTGCTAAAACAGTTTCCCTTCCATAGCGCCATTTATTCCATATCTGGGCATTGGTATCTCGACTTCTTTTTCAAACTTGTACGGAAATAATTTTGCCCCCTTAATTGACAAGACTGAGAGGGACTTTATCCGCTGGTCAGCTCTTCTGTCGATTCTGTTGCATATGTGACACCTTTTTTTCCACGAATGAAGTAAAAAAAACAAAACAAAAGAATAACTTAAACAAAAGAATGTGAGACTTGATGCTTTCCCCCCAATGACAATGTTTCTACTGCCATCTGGTGGCCGTGTGCGGACGGAACCCAGTGCATTTCGGTCTTTCTCTGGTCTCTCTCTGGTCTCTCTCTCTGGTCTCTCTCTCTGGTCTCTCTCTGGTCTCTCTCTGATCTCTCTCTGGTCTCTCTCTGGTCTCTCTCTGGTCTCTCTCTGGTCTCTCTCTCTGATCTCTCTCTGGTCTCTCTCTGGTCTCTCTCTGGTCTCTCTCTGGTCTCTCTCCGGTCTCTCTCTGGTCTCTCTCTGGTCTCTCTCCGGTCTCTCTCTGGTCTCTCTCTGGTCTCTCTCTCTGGTCTCTCTCTGGTCTCTCTCTCTGGTCTCTCTCTCTGGTCTCTCTCTCTGGTCTCTCTCTGGTCTCTCTCTGATCTCTCTCTGGTCTCTCTCTCTGATCTCTCTCTGGTCTCTCTCTGGTCTCTCTCTGATCTCTCTCTCTGGTCTCTCTCTGGTCTCTCTCTGATCTCTCTCTCTGATCTCTCTCTGGTCTCTCTCTGGTCTCTCTCTGATCTCTCTCTCTGGTCTCTCTCTGGTCTCTCTCTGATCTCTCTCTCTGGTCTCTCTCCGGTCTCTCTCTGGTCTCTCTCTGGTCTCTCTCTCTGGTCTCTCTCTGGTCTCTCTCTGTAAAAACCACAGGATGCTTCTTTTTACACTAGTGGCTCCAGGGACACACACACACGTACACACAAGCACACACGTGTGCACACACACGCACACACACGCACACACACACACGCACACACACACACACACACACACACACACACACACACACACACACACACACACACACACACACACACACACACACACACACACACACACACGCACACACACACCTCTCTCTCTCTGCACTCTCTCTGGACTGGCCCATGTCTCCGGTCGTGGATCTCATGAAGAGGGACTGTTTCGCCTCCGGGGCCCTGAGTTCGGTGTCTCTCAAACACAGACTCATCCGGAGGAAGAGGAGAGTGGCCCCGGGGCCCCATGCCGACCGCGGGGGCCCCCAGCGCCTCAGGTACGATCCTGTTTAAGCCTCTCGGACAGAGACCAGAGAGGGACCAGAGAGAGACCAAAGAGAGACCAGAAAGAGACCAGAGAGAGACTAGAGAGAGACCAGAGAGAGACCAGCGAGAGACCAGAGAGAGACCAAAGAGAGACCAGAAAGAGACCAAAGAGAGACCAGAAAGAGACCAGAGAGAGACCAGAAAGAGAGACCAGAGAGAGACCAAAGAGAGACCAGAGAGAGACCAGAGATAGACCAGAGAGGGAGGATGTAGACATGTGTGTGTTTGTTGTATTTTAAAAGTAAGAATAACTCAAACACAAGAATCTAAGACGTGACGCTTGGACCCCGCAATGAAAATGTTTCTACTGCCATCTGGTGCCCGTCTGTGGACGGAACCCCAGTGCATTTCTGGTCTCTCTCTGGTCTGTCTGGTCTGTCTCTGGTCTCTCTCTGGTCTCTCTCTGGTCTCTCTCTCTGGTCTCTCCTCAGTCTTTCTGGTCTCTCTGGTCCCTCTCTGGTCTCTCTCTGGTTTCTCTCTCTCTCTCAAACCTCTCTGGTCCCTCTCGGGTCTCTCTGGTGTCTCTCTCTCTCTCAAACCTCTCTGGTCTTCCTCTCACTCTCTCTCTGGTCTCCCTCCCTGGTCCCCCTCTCTCTAGTCTCTCTCTCTGGTGTCTCTCCAGTTAGTTATAGTGCCTGATGGTTGTTGTTGCTCCCTGGCAGATGCCCCCTGGTGTCCGTTTGTGGTCAGAGCCCCACGGTGCAGAGGGTCCTGGGGGCCTGTGTCCTCTCTCTGCTGGCTCTGCTGGGGGCCGTGTCCTCAGACCTCCGCTCTCAGCTAGACCTGCTTCACTCCACGGACCGGGCCCTGGCTGAACTCGCCTCCTGCAGAAGCCGAGGCCTCCTGCTCCTGGTGGATCGGCTGCAGGAGGTCCGCAGGCTGTGGAGGAGGAGGTCCGGAGCCCAGGAGGTGATGGAGGTGATGGAGGTGATGGAGGGTCTGTGCTCGGACAGCGATCAGTGTGGAGGAGAGATGGACCAGGTGTGTGCAGATGTACGACGAGTCCTCTTACGGGACCTGAGCATCTCCGAGAGCTTACAGGAGGACCTCAACACGTCCAGGAACCTACAGGAGGACCTCAACACGTCCAGGAACCTACAGGAGGACCTCAACACGTCCAGGAACCTACAGGAGGACCTCAACACGTCCAGGACTCTACAGGAGGACCTCAACACGTCCAGGACTCTACAGGAGGACCTCAACACGTCCAGGACTCTACAGGAGGACCTCAGCATGTCCAATAGCTTACAGGAGGACCTCAGCATGTCCAGTAGCTTACAGGAGGACCTCAGCATATCCAGTAGCTTACAGGAGGACCTCAGCATGTCAAGTAGCTTACAGAAGGACCTCAGCATGTCCAGGAGCTTACAGAAGGACCTCAGCATGTCCAGGAGCTTACAGAAGGACCTCAGCATGTCCAGGAGCTTACAGAAGGACCTCAGCATGTCCAGGAGCTTACAGAAGGACCTCAGCATATCCAGTAGCTTACAGGAGGACCTCAGCATGTCCAGTAGCTTACAGAAGGATTCCAACAGGTCCAGAAGCTTACAGGACGCTTCCAACGTGTCTAGAACCCAACGAGGAGACCGTAACAGGTCTGAGCTGGACCTTAATGGAAATCTTGATATGTTCAAGAACTTTACACCAGACCATAATGTGACCCAAAGCCTGCGACAAGACTTCAACATGTCTGAGAGACTACAGAAGGACTTCAGCCTGGCCAGTGGTCTACAGGAGAACCTCAACAACAGCCAAGAGAAGGACCAAAACCGGAATGTGCCTCAAGACCTCACCATGTTCAGGGACTTTACACAGGGCCTTAACGATTCCAGGAAGTTCACAAAGAACCTCAAGATGTCAGACACCCAACAAGAGGACCGTACCATCTCTGAGAACCCACAGGGAGACTTGTCCAGAAGTCTACAGGAGAAACTTAACACAAGCCGAGAGGAGGATCATAACACAATGGAGTCACAAGCCCACATCAGCCTGAAAGAAGGCCGTAACATGTCTGAAAGCTACCAGAAGGATTTCAACAGGTCCAGAAGTCTCCCAGACCTCGGCACACCCACGCAGGACACTGACCCCTTCTCCTCCAGCATCAGTCGGCTGCTGGGGCTGTGGACCCCTCTCCCAGAGACGCTGTCCCGAGCGAAGGAGCAGTCGTGCTGGAGAGAGGTGCTGGCCCTCCAAGTCCTGCGCTCATACCAGGAGCTGTATCTGCAGGTGTCTGGCTCAACGGCACAACAGGACTTCAGGCTCCAGTGGGCCTCTGTGTCGCGGCTGCTGGAGCTGTCGCGGATGCTCTCCTCTCCTCTGGGCGAATGCTGGGCTCACAACATAGGACACACCCTAGATCTGATGGAGTTTAAGCCGTGGGAGGTGCAGGAGGACTCACCCATGGGCAGATCTTTGGGAGAGCACCTGAGGAGCACTAGTGTGTGTGTGAGGGAGCGGGCGGAGGAGACGCTGAGGCTGGAGGTGCGAGCCCTGACCTCCGCCCTGAGTCAGAGGCTGTGTCTGCTGGGCCTGGCCTGCCTCATCTACCCCCTGGTGCTCTGCTCCTTCAGGCTGATGATGCAGTGGATCCAGGACTACGCCCGCAGCCTGAAGGAGCGAACCGAAGACCTGAAGAGACAGAGGCAGCGCGCCGAAGACCTGCTGCACCAGATGCTCCCCAAGTCTGTGGCCAAGCAGCTGCGGAGGAACCGGCACGTGGAGGCGGAGAGCTACGACAAGGTGGGTCTCTTAAAGCTCAGGGATGTAACTTTAAAGCTCAGGGACATAATCTCACACAATCAGAACTCTGAAGTAAACCCATGTCTCTGGTTCTGGTTCTAAACAGTTGCTTCTGTCTCTGTCATATCTTTAGATCAAAGAGAGGACCACCCTCACTCAGTTCTCTCCCTAGTCTCTCTCTGGTCTCTCTCTGGTCTCTCTCTGGTCTCTCTCTGGTCTCTCTCTTGTCTTTCCATGGTCTCTCTCTTGTTTCTCTCTGGTCTCCCTCTGTTCTCTCTGGTCTCTCTCTGGTCTCTCTCTTGTTTCTATTTGGTCTCTCTCTGGTCTCTCTCTTATCTCTCTCTGGTCTCTCTCTGGTCTCTCTCCTGCCTCTCTCCGGTCTCTCTCTAGTCTCTCTCTGGTCTCTCTCTGGTCTCTCTCTTGTCTCTCTCTGGTCTCTCTCTTGTCTCTCTCTGGTCTCTCTCTGGTCTCTCTCTGGTCTCTCTCTGGTCTCTCTCTTGTCTCTCTCCGGTCTCTCTCTTGTCTCTCTCTGGTCTATCTCTGGTCTCTCTCTGGTCTCAGACTGGTCTCTCTCTGGTCTCTCTCTCTGGTCTCTTTCTGGTCTCTCTCTCTGGTCTCTCTCTCTGTTTAGAGAGATAGACAGTTCTCTCTGGTGAACCTCTACATGGTAAGTTTATCGTATGGCACAGAGCTGTGGTGGAGGGATGTGTCGCCGCGGTGACGTCCTGAGACTCTTTGCTCCTTTGTGCCGATAATTACCTATAATTGTTCTGCTCCATATTCAGCAGGAGATAAAAGGGGCTGGACCTCATCCTCTTCTGGTATAATGAGACATATGGGACCAGAGAGAGACCAGAGAGAGACCAGAGAGACCAGAGAGAGACCAGAGAGAGACCAGAGAGAGACAAGAGAGAGACCCAGAGAGAGACCAGAGAGAGACCAGAGAGAGACCAGAGAGAGACCAGAGAGAGACCAGAGAGAGACCAGAGAGACCAGAGAGAGACCAGAGAGAGACCAGAGAGAGACCAGAGAGAGACCAGAGAGAGACCAGAGAGAGACCAGAGAGAGACCAGAGAGAGACCAGAGAGAGACCAGAGAGACCAGAGAGAGACCAGAGAGAGACCAGAGAGAGACAAGAGAGAGACCAGAGAGAGACCAGAGAGAGAGACCAGAGAGAGACCAGAGAGAGACCAGAGAGAGACCAGAGAGAGACCAGAGAGAGACCAGAGAGAGACCAGAGAGACCAGAGAGAGACCAGAGAGAGACCAGAGAGAGACCAGAGAGAGACCAGAGAGAGACCAGAGAGAGACCAGAGAGAGACCAGAGAGACCAGAGAGAGACCAGAGAGAGACCAGAGAGAGACCAGAGAGAGACCAGAGAGACCAGAGAGAGACCAGAGAGAGACTGGAGAGAGACCAGAGAGAGACCAGAGAGAGACCAGAGAGACCAGAGAGAGACCAGAGAGAGACCGGAGAGAGACCAGAGAGACCAGAGAGAGACCAGAGAGAGACCGGAGAGAGACCAGAGAGAGACCAGAGAGACCAGAGAGAGACCAGAGAGACCAGAGAGAGACCAGAGAGACCCAGAGAGAGACCAGAGAGACCAGAGAGAGACCAGAGAGAGACTGGAGAGAGACCAGAGAGAGACCAGAGAGAGACCAGAGAGACCAGAGAGAGACCAGAGAGAGACTGGAGAGAGACCAGAGAGAGACCAGAGAGAGACCAGAGAGAGACCAGAGAGAGACTGGAGAGAGACCAGAGAGAGACTGGAGAGAGACCAGAGAGAGACCAGAGAGAGACCAGAGAGAGACCAGAGAGAGACCAGAGAGAGACCAGAGAGAGACCAGAGAGACCAGAGAGAGAAAAGGGAGAAATTGTACATTTTTGTAGAACCAATAAAAGATTAACTAATCTTCAGAAATATGTGTGTGTCTCTGTCTGTCTGTGTGTCTCTGTGTGTGTCTTTGTGTGTGTCTGTGTGTGTGTCTCTGTGTGTGTCTCTGTGTGTGTCCCTGTGTGTCTCTGTGTGTGTCCCTGTGTGTCTCTGTGTGTGTCTGTGTGTCTCTGTGTGTGTCCCTGTGTGTCTCTCTGTGTGTGTCTCTGTGTGTCTCTCTGTGTGTGTCTGTGTGTCCCTGTGTGTCTCTCTGTGTGTGTCTCTGTGTGTGTCTCTGTGTGTGTCTGTGTGTGTGTGTGTCTCTCTGTGTGTGTCTCTGTGTGTTGCAGGTGACCATCTTCTTCTCTGACATCGTGGGCTTCACGTCTCTGTCTGCGTCCTGTCGCCCCCTGCAGGTCGTGGAGATGCTCAACAACCTCTACATGTGCTTCGACACACGCATCGACTCCTACGACGTCTACAAGGTACTCTGACTGCAGACGCTGCTCCCTCCGCAGCCACAGAGCTCTGACTGCAGACGCTGCTCCCTCCGCAGCCACAGAGCTCTGACTGCAGACGCTGCTCCCTCCGCACCCACAGAGCTCTGACTGCAGACGCTGCTCCCTCCGCACCCACAGAGCTCTGACTGCAGACGCTGCTCCCTCCGCACCCACAGAGCTCTGACTGCAGACGCTGCTCCCTCCGCAGCCACAGAGCTCTGACTGCAGACGCTGCTCCCTCCGCACCCACAGAGCTCTGACTGCAGACGCTGCTCCCTCCGCACCCACAGAGCTCTGACTGCAGACGCTGCTCCCTCCGCAGCCACAGAGCTCTGACTGCAGACGCTGCTCCCTCTGCACCCACCCAGAGCTCTGACTGCAGACGCTGCTCCCTCTGCACTCACAGAGCTCTGACTGCAGACGCTGCTCCCTCTGCACCCACAGAGCTCTAACTGCAGACGCTGCTCCCTCTGCGCCCACCCAGAGCTCTGACTGCAGACGCTGCGCCCTCTGCACCCACAGAGCTCTGACTGCAGACGCTGCTCCCTCTGCACCCCCAGAGCTCTGACTGCAGACGCTGCTCCCTCTGCAACCACCCAGAGCTCTGACTGCAGACGCTGCTCCCTCTGCAACCACCCAGAGCTCTGACTGCAGACGCTGCTCCCTCTGCACTCACAGAGCTCTGACTGCAGACGCTGCTCCCTCTGCACTCACAGAGCTCTGACTGCAGACGCTGCTCCCTCTGCAACCACCCAGAGCTCTGACTGCAGACGCTGCTCCCTCTGCACCCCCAGAGCTCTGACTGCAGACGCTGCTCCCTCTGCAACCACCCAGAGCTCTGACTGCAGACGCTGCTCCCTCTGCACCCACCCAGAGCTCTGACTGCAGACGCTGCTCCCTCTGCACCCACCCAGAGCTCTGACTGCAGACGCTGCTCCCTCTGCACCCACAGAGCTCGGACTGCAGACGCTGCTCCCTCCGCAGCCACAGAGCTCTGACTGCAGACGCTGCTCCCTCTGCTCTTGTGAGAAAAAAGCAATAGTCTCTCTCTCTGGTCTCTCTCTTGTCTCTCTCTCTGGTCTCTCTCTTGTCTCTCTCTCTGGTCTCTCTCTGGTCTCTCTCTGGTCTCTCTCTTGTCTCGCTCTCTGGTCTCTCTCTGGTCACTCTCTCTGGTCTCGCTCTTGTCTCTCTCTCTGGTCACTCTCTCTGGTCTCTCTCTCTGGTCTCTCTCTTGTCTCTCTCTCTGGTCTCTCTCTGGTCTCTCTCTTGTCTCTCTCTCTGGTCTCTCTCTGGTCTCTCTCTTGTCTCTCTCTCTGGTCTCTCTCTTGTCTCTCTCTCTGGTCTCTCTCTCTGGTCTCTCTCTGGTCTCTCTCTTGTCTCTCTCTCTGGTCTCTCTCTCTGGTCTCTCTCTTGTCTCTCTCTCTGGTCTCTCTCTTGTCTCTCTCTCTGGTCTCTCTCTGGTCTCTCTCTTGTCTCTCTCTCTGGTCTCTCTCTTGTCTCTCTCTCTGGTCTCTCTCTGGTCTCTCTCTTGTCTCTCTCTCTGGTCTCTCTCTTGTCTCTCTCTCTGGTCTCTCTCTCTGGTCTCTCTCTGGTCTCTCTCTTGTCTCTCTCTCTGGTCTCTCTCTGGTCTCTCTCTTGTCTCTCTCTCTCTGGTCTCTCTCTTGTCTCTCTCTCTGGTCTCTCTCTCTGGTCTCTCTCTGGTCTCTCTCTCTGGTCTCTCTCTGGTCTCTCTCTGGTCTATCTCTGGTCTATCTCTGGTCTATCTCTGATCTCTCTCTGGTCTCTCTCTTGTCTCTCTCTCTTCCTGGCTCCAGCTTATGATCACATCAGCTTCTTCATCAGCTGCATTAAGGACACTGTGGTGATGTCACACGGTGGTGATGTCACACTGTGGTGATGTCACACTTTATGGTGGTGTCGCTGCTGCAGGTGGAGACCATCGGAGACGCCTACATGGTTGTGAGCGGGTTACCAGAGAGGAACGAGGACCGACATGCAGACGAGATCGCCAAGATGGCCCTGGACCTGGTGGCGGCGGTGAGACAGGTGCCCATCCCCCACATGCCCAACCAGAGACTGCAGCTGAGGGCCGGCATCCACACTGGTAAGACCAGAGGGACCAGGGACCAGAGACCAGAGACCAGAAACCAGAGACCGGAGGGACCAGAGAGACCAGAGGGACCAGAGACCAGAGACCAGAGACCAGAGACCAGAGACCAGAAACCAGAGACCGGAGGGACCAGAGAGACCAGAGGGACCAGAGACCAGAGACCAGAGAGACCAGAGACAAGAGGGACCAGAGACCAGAGGGACCAGAGACCAGAGGGCCCAGAGACCAGAGAGACAAGAGGGACCAGAGACCAGAGACCAGAGACCGGAGGGACCAGAGAGACCAGAGGGACCAGAGACCAGAGGGACCAGAGACCAGAGACCAGAGGGACCAGAGACCAGAGAGACCAGAGACCGGAGGGACCAGAGAGACCAGAGGGACCAGAGACCAGAAGGACCAGAGACCAGAGGGACCAGAGACCAGAGGGACCAGAGACCAGAGAGACGAGAGACAAGAGGGACCAGAGACCAGAGACCAGAGGGACCAGAGACCAGAGAGACCAGAGACAAGAGGGACCAGAGACCAGAGACCAGAGGGACCAGAGACCAGAGGGACCAGAGACCAGAGACCAGAGGGACCAGAGACCAGAGAGACCAGAGACCAGAGGGACCAGAGACCAGAGGGACCAGAGACCAGAGAGACCAGAGACCAGAGGGACCAGAGACCAGAGACCAGAGGGACCAGAGACCAGAGACCAGAGGGACCAGAGACCAGAGAGACCAGAGACCAGAGAGACCAGAGACCAGAGGGACCAGAGACCAGAGAGACCAGAGACCAGAGAGATCAGAGACCAGAGGGACCAGGGACCAGAGACCAGAGGGACCAGAGAGAGACCGGAGGGACCAGAGACCAGAGGGACCAGAGACCATAGAGACCAGAGACCAGAGACCAGAGGGACCAGAGACCATAGAGACCAGAGACCAGAGACCAGAGGGACCAGAGAGACCAGATAGACCACCAGAGACGAGAGACCAGGGACCAGAGAGAGAGAACAGAGAGACCAGAGAGAACAGAAAGAGAGACCAGAGAGAGACCAGCAAGACCAGAGACCGGAGAGACCAGAGAGAGAGAGACCAGAGAGGACCAGAGAAAGCAAAGAGAGACCAGAGAGGACCAGAGAGAGCAAAGAGAGACCAGAGAGAGACATGAAACTAGTGATAGATGCAACTGTTTTAGAGCCAGAACTCGAGACATTAGTTTAATACAGAAATCTCGTATGGTCTGAAAGTTACGTCCCTCCGCTTTAATCATGACAATAGTTCTGTTCTGGTGCAGGACCATGTGTGGCTGGGATAGTGGGATACAAAATGCCCAGATACTGTCTGTTTGGAGACACGGTCAACACGGCGTCCAGGATGGAGTCCACCAGTCTGCGTGAGTACAGACCTCCACCTGGTCCAGAGTCTGACCAGAGAGAGAGACCAGAGCGAAACCAGAGAGAGATCAGGGAGAGACCAGAGAGAGACCAGAGAGAGACCAGAGAAAGAGACTAGAGAGAGGTCAGAGAGTGACCAGAGAGAGACCAGGGAGAGACCAGAGAAAGACCAAAGAGAGACCAGAGCGAAACCAGAGAGAGACCAGAGAGAGACCAGAGAGAGACCAGAGAGAGACCAGAGAGTCCAGAAAGAGACCAGAGAGAGAGACCAGAGAGAGACCAGATAGAGACCAGAGAGAGACCAGGGAGAGAGACCAGAAAGTCCAGAAAGAGACCAGAGAGAGAGACCAGTGAGAGACCGAAGAGAGACCAGAGCGAAACCAGAGAGAGACCAGAGAGGGACCAGAGAGAGACCAGAGAGAGACCAGAGAGAGACCAGAGGGATACCAGAGAGGGACCAGAGAGAGACCAGAGAGAGACCAGTGAGAGACCAAAGAGAGACCAGAGCGAAACCAGAGAGAGACCAGAGAGAGACCAGAGAGAGACCAGAGAGAGACCAGAGAGGGACCAGAGAGAGACCAGAGAGAGACCAGAGAGAGACCAGTGAGAGACCAGTGAGTGACCAGAGCGAAACCAGAGAGAGACCAGAGAGAGACCAGAGAGAGAGACCAGAGAGAGACCAGATAGAGACCAGAGAGAGACCAGAGAGAGACCAGAGACAGACCAGAGAGAAACCAGAGAGAGACCAGAGAGAGACCAGAAAGAGACCAGAGAGAGACCAGAGAGAAACCAGAGAGAGACCAGAGAGAGACCAGAAAGAGACCAGAGAGAGACCAGAGAGAAACCAGAGAGAGACCAGAGAAAGACCAGGGAGAGACCAGAGAGAGACCAGAGAGAGAGACCAGAGAGAGACCAGAGAGAGACCAGAGAGAGAGACCAGAGAGAGACCAGAGAGAGACCAGAGAGAGGCCAGAGAGAGACCAGAGAGAGACCAGAGAGAGACCAGATAGAGACCAGAGAGAGACCAGAGAGAGACCAGAGAGAGACCAGAGAGAGACCAGGGAGAGACCAGAGAGAGACCAGAGAGAGACCAGAGAGAGACCAGAGAGAGACCAGAGAGAGACCAGAGAGAGGGCTTGTCTGTGTTGATGTCGCGATGTTGTTTCGTGCAGCTCAGAAGATCCACATCAGTTCAGAGACTTATCTCGCTCTAATCAAAGACAACGTCTACGAGATGCAGCTGCGAGGAGAGGTGGACGTCAAGGTGCAGACCTCCACCTGGTCCCGCTATATTCAACCCTGTCCTCTCATCTGGTCTCCTCTCTCTGGTCTCCCTCTCCTCTGGTCTCCTCTCTTCTGGTCTCCCTCTCCTCTGGTCTCCTCTCTTCTGGTGTCCTCTCCTGGTCCATATCCTCTCTTCTAGTCTGCTCTGTTCTTCTGTCCCTGTCATCTTCATGGTCTTGTGTCTCGTGGTGTCCTCTCTTGGTCCCTCTCCTCTACTGATCTCTCTCCTGGTCCCTCTTCATGGTCCGTCTCTTCATGGTGACTCTCCTGGTCCCTTTGTTGATGGTCTCTCTCCTTCATGGTGTCTCTCCTAGTCCCTCTCTTCATGGTCTTGTGTCTCCTGGTCCCTGTCTTGATGGTTCCTGTCTTGATGGTGTCTGTCTTGATGGGCTCTTTCTTGATGGTACCTGTCTTGATGGTCCTTGTCTTGATGGTTCCTGTCTTGACGGTTCTTGTCTTGATGGTCCCTGTCTTGATGGTCCCTGTGTTGATGGTCCCTGTCTCGGTGGTCCCTGTCTTGATGGTCCCTGTGTTGATGGTCCCTGTCTTGATGGTGTCTGTCTTGATGGTTCCTGTCTTGATGGTGTCTGTCTTGATGGTCCCTGTCTTGATGGTGTCTGTCTTGAGGGTCCCTGTCTTGATGGTCCCTGTGTTGATGGTCCCTGTCTCGGTGGTCCCTGTCTCTGTGGTCCCTGTCTTGATGGTCCCTGTCTTGATGATCCCTGTCTTGATGGTCCCTGTCTTGATGGTCCCTGTCTTGATGATCCCTGTCTTGATGGTCCCTGTCTTGATGGTCCCTGTCTTGATGATCCCTGTCTTGAGGGTCCCTGTCTTGATGATCCCTGTCTTGATGATCCCTGTCTTGATGGTCCCTGTCTTGATGGTCCCTGTGTTGATGGTCCCTGTCTCGGTGGTCCCTGTCTTGATGATCCCTGTCTTGATGGTCCCTGTCTTGATGGTCCCTGTGTTGATGGTCCCCAGGGCAAAGGCAGGATGAGTACGTACTGGTTGGTGGGACATAAGAACTACAGTGTGCAGAACGACAGCCTGGTCTGTCACCTGGACCCCAACAGGAAGAGGGCCCCCAGGAGCCAGGCCCCCGGGAGCCAGGCCTCAGTGACCACGGTGAGACCAGCTGGGACCCAGGACCAGCTGAGACCGAGTACCAGCTGAGACTGATTTTAGGCGTAAAACATGTTGTGATTGATAAGACCAGAGAGAGACTAGAAAGAGACCAGAGAGAGACCAGAGCGAGACCAGAGAGAGACCAGAGCGAGACCAGAGAGAGACCAGAGAGAGACCAGAGCGAGAGACCAGAAAGAGACCAGAGAGAGACCAGAGAGAGACCAGAAAGAGACCAGAGAGAGACCAGAAAGAGACCAGAGAGAGACCAGAGCGAGACCAGAGCGAGACCAGAGAGAGACCAGAAAGAGACCAGAGAGAGACCAGAGCGAGACCAGAGCGAGACCAGAGAGAGACCAGAGCGAGACCAGAGAGAGAGACCAGAGAGAGACCAGAGAGAGACCAGAAAGAGACCAGAGAGAGACCAGAGAGAGACCAGAGAGAGACCAGAGAGAGACCAGAGAGAGACCAGAGAGAGACCAGAGAGAGACCAGAGAGAGACCAGAGAGAGACCAGAGAGAGACCAGAGAGAGACCAGAGAGAGACCAGAGAGAGACCAGAGAGAGACCAGAGAGAGACCAGAGAGAGACCAGAGAGAGACCAGAGAGAGAGACCAGAGAGAGACCAGAGAGAGACCAGAGAGAGACCAGAGAGAGACCAGAGAGAGACCAGAGAGAGAGACCAGAGAGAGACCAGAGAGAGAGACCAGAGAGAGACCAGAGAGAGACCAGAGAGAGACCAGAGAGAGACCAGAGAGAGACCAGAGAGAGACCAGAGAAAGAGACCAGAGAGAGAGACCAGAGAGAGACCAGAGAGAGAGACCAGAGAGAGACCAGAGAGAGACCAGAGAGAGACCAGAGAGAGACCAGAGAGAGAGACCAGAGAAGCCCTTGATGTCACGTCAGAACAGAGTTCACAGTGTTTCCTAGGAACTATAAAGACACCTAGAAACTTCCTCGAGAGAGATCCAAGGACAGTAGAGAGAGACTAGAGAGAAGCTCAGAGAGAGAAAACCAGAGACCAGAAGAGACCAGAGAGAGACCAGAGAGAGACCAGAGAGAGACCAGAGAGACAGACGAGACCAGAGAGACCAGAGAGAGAGACCAGAGAGAGAGAGACCAGAGAGAGACCAGAGAGAGAGACCAGAGAGAGACCAGAGAGAGACCAGAGAGAGACCAGAGAGAGACCAGAGAGAGACCAGAGAGACCAGAGAGAGACCAGAGAGAGACCAGAGAGAGACCAGAGAGAGGCCAGAGAGACCAGAGAGAGGCCAGAGAGAGGCCAGAGAGAGACCAGAGAGAGAGAGACCAGAGAGAGGCCAGAGAGACCAGAGAGAGACCAGAGAGAGGCCAGAGAGAGAGAGACCAGAGAGAGGCCAGAGAGATCAGAGAGAGGCCAGAGAGAGACCAGAGAGAGGCCAGAGAGACCAGAGAGAGGCCAGAGAGAGACCAGAGAGAGACCAGAGAGAGACAGAGAGAGAGACCAGAGAGAGACCAGAGAGAGACCAGAGAGAGACCAGAGAGAGACCAGAGAGAGACCAGAGAGAGAGAGACCAGAGAGAGACCAGAGAGAGACCAGAGAGAGACCAGAGAGAGACCAGAGAGAGACCAGAGAGAGAGACCAGAGAGAGACCAAGAGAGAGACCAGAGAGAGAGACCAGAGAGAGACCAGAGAGAGAGACCAGAGAGAGACCAGAGAGAGAGACCAGAGAGAGAGAGAGACCAGAGAGAGACCAGAGAGAGAGAGAGAGAGAGACCAGAGAGAGACCAGAGAGAGACCAGAGAGAGACCAGAGAGAGACCAGAGAGAGACCAGAGAGAGACCAGAGAGAGACCAGAGAGAGACCAGAGAGAGACCAGAGAGAGACCAGAGAGAGACCAGAGAGAGACCAGAGAGAGACCAGAGAGAGACCAGAGAGAGACCAGAGAGAGACCAGAGAGAGACCAGAGAGAGACCAGAGAGAGACCAGAGAGAGACCAGAGAGAGAGACCAGAGAGAGACCAGAGAGAGACCAGAGAGAGACCAGAGAGAGACCAGAGAGAGAGACCAGAGAGAGACCAGAGAGAGAGACCAGAGAGAGACCAGAGAGAGACAGAGAGAGACCAGAGAGAGACCAGAGAGAGAGACCAGAGAGAGACCAGAGACCAGAGACCAGAGAGAGACCAGAGAGAGAGACCAGAGAGAGAGACCAGAGACCAGAGAGAGACCAGAGAGAGAGACCAGAGAGAGAGACCAGAGACCAGAGAGAGACCAGAGAGAGACCACAGAGAGAGACCACAGAGAGACCACAGAGAGAGAGAGACCAGAGAGAGACCAGAGAGAGAGACCAGAGAGAGACCAGAGACCAGAGAGAGACCAGAGACCAGAGAGAGACCAGAGAGAGAGACCAGAGAGAGACCAGAGAGCGAGACCAGAGAGAGACCAGAGAGAGAGACCAGAGAGAGAGACCAGAGAGAGAGACCAGAGAGAGACCAGAGAGAGAGACCAGAGAGAGACCAGAGAGAGACCAGAGAGAGACCAGAGAGAGAGACCAGAGAGAGACCAGAGAGAGACCAGAGAGAGACCAGAGAGAGACCAGAGAGAGACCAGAGAGAGACCAGAGAGAGACCAGAGAGAGACCAGAGAGAGACCAGAGAGAGAAGCATTGGAATTTAACTTACAGTCACACCTTTTTCTCGCCACTCCACTTTTTGAGCCAAGCAGGAAACTCATCATTTAATCTCACAGTACTTTGCACAAAATGAAGACACAAAAGAAAAAAACAAAACATGTCTTTTTAAAAACAACTTCAACGAAAAGATGTCCTTTCATCTACAGCGTGTTGGAGTCACCAGCGGGTGGCAAGTAGTAAGTTATGTTTATTTATATAGCACATTTTTACAGACCAAAGTCTCCTAAAGGGCTTTACAAAGTTCAAAGTTCAGGTATTGTTCCATTCTCCCCACACGGTGATGAAGCGAGACCAGAACACACTGGACCATCAAAGCCTCCGACCAAACACCCTCCATTCCCTCTCATTACATTCAGACTTTTGTACATGTGTTTAGTGGTGGGTGAATCCAGAGCACCTGGTATATATACAGTATATAAAAAACACACAGACCTTTGGCCCTCTGTGTGCGGTTATCCCTCTCCAAGCTCGGGTCCTCTACCAGAGGCCTGGGAGCTTGAGGTTTCTGTGCAGCATCTCCTTTACCTTCAGACTCTCTCACTACTGTCTCCTTTACCTTCAGACTCTCTCACTACTGTCTCCTTTACCTTCAGACTCTCTCACTACTGTCTCCTTTACCTTCAGACTCTCTCACTACTGTCACCTTTACCTTCAGACTCTCTCACTACTGTCTCCTTTACCTTCAGACTCTCTCACTACTGTCTCCTTTACCTTCAGACTCTCTCACTACTGTCTCCTTTACCTTCAGACTCTCTCACTACTGTCTCCTTTACCTTCAGACTCTCTCACTACTGTCTCCTTTACCTTCAGACTCTCTCACTACTGTCTCCTTTACCTTCAGACTCTCTCACTACTGTCTCCTTTACCCTCAGACTCTCTCACTACTGTCTTCTTTACCTTCAGACTCTCTCACTACTGTCTCCTTCAGACTCTCTCACTACTGTCTCCTTTACCTTCAGACTCTCTCACTACTGTCTCCTTTACCTTCAGACTCTCTCACTACTGTCACCTTTACCCTCAGACTCTCTCACTACTGTCTCCTTTACCTTCAGACTCTCTCACTACTGTCACCTTTACCTTCAGACTCTCTCACTACTGTCACCTTTACCTTCAGACTCTCTCACTACTGTCTCCTTTACCTTCAGACTCTCTCACTACTGTCTCCTTTACCTTCAGACTCTCTCACTACTGTCTCCTTTACCTTCAGACTCTCTCACTACTGTCTCCTTTACCTTCAGACTCTCTCACTACTGTCTTCTTTACCTTCAGACTCTCTCACTACTGTCACCTTTACCTTCAGACTCTCTCACTACTGTCTCCTTTACCTTCAGACTCTCTCACTACTGTCTCCTTTACCTTCAGACTCTCTCACTACTGTCTCCTTTACCTCAGACTCTCTCACTACTGTCTCCTTTACCTTCAGACTCTCTCACTTCTGTCTCCTTTACCTTCAGACTCTCTCACTACTGTCTCCTTTACCTTCAGACTCTCTCACTACTGTCACCTTTACCTTCAGACTCTCTCACTACTGTCTCCTTTACCTTCAGACTCTCTCACTACTGTCTCCTTTACCTTCAGACTCTCTCACTACTGTCTCCTTTACCTTCAGACTCTCTCACTACTGTCTCCTTTACCTTCAGACTCTCTCACTACTGTCTCCTTTACCCTCAGACTCTCTCACTACTGTCTTCTTTACCTTCAGACTCTCTCACTACTGTCTCCTTCAGACTCTCTCACTACTGTCTCCTTTACCTTCAGACTCTCTCACTACTGTCTCCTTTACCTTCAGACTCTCTCACTACTGTCTCCTTTACCTTCAGACTCTCTCACTACTGTCTCCTTTACCTTCAGACTCTCTCACTACTGTCTCCTTTACCTTCAGACTCTCTCACTACTGTCACCTTTACCTTCAGACTCTCTCACTACTGTCACCTTTACCCTCCAGGCCCTCTCCAGCTCCTCTCTGAGCCTTTGGTATTTCTCAAGCTTTTCGTGTTCTTATTTCCAGATGTTACCATCGCTTGGTCACGTCCACCACCACGATGTCAGGTGGTTCGCCATTACCATTGGGTCGGTCTGTATCTGGAAGTCCCACAGGATATACAGTACATATATAGTAAAAGTGTAATTTGTGATGCTTTGAGAAACTTTCTGAAACATGAAAAAGGTAAAGTCTCTATACTCTTTATATTCATGGGTCAAATGTTCCTTAACGCACTTTCACCAATGAGTGACAGGTAGAAATGTCAAGAATTACATTTTCATAACTTCCTTGAACGAAGTAGGCGGCTGCAAAGGAGGAGGACGGACTTAGTTTTACCTTTATATTGCGACGTTTTCTTCAGGTTTCAGTCCAACCCTGACACATTTGAGTGAGTATATTTTATAATCACAACTATTTTGCTTTGTGTATTATTCAAGATTAAAGGGACGGTAGGTAATAGGCACTTTTACAGTTTTCTGAGTCGCTTTGGTGCATTTCTCATTCTTCACATTTTCAAAACTGTTGGTGCATTTCTCAGAAAAATTAGTGCAAACTGCAAAACCTCGTGGATAACCTGCAAAAGTTAATTCTTCAAAAGCAAGTCTTTATGTCAATGAAACTGTGTCTCAGAATAATAAGTCCACATACCTGTCAACCTGCGTGGCTCTATGCCCTTACAAATTCCAGAATTTGACCATACAAATCAGTAAAAATTCTTACGCCTCAGAATATGCCACACCCGAAAACCATGTTAATTGCATTGTAAATTTAATCCTTTAAGCATTAATCCGTAAAAATAACAAACAATAGTAAAAAAATATGTTTTATTCTATCAAAACAATTAAAAGGTGCAAGACTGATCCATTTAGTTCACTGTTTGTTCTTCCTGCAATCATGTTTCTTTAAGTTTCCTTGTTGTCCTGACAATGTTCTTTGTTATATTTCACTGTTGCTGATTTTGCAGCAGCAATCATGTCCTTTGAAGGCTTGAGATTGGTCGACTATTACGAAATAACCGGGAACTAGCTTCTACGCATGCGCAATTGCTCGTCTGTTAGTCTCGACTGGAATATTCGTTCAGCTTAGTAGAAAACACTGGAGCTGGAGCGGCAGACTGACGTCTGCGGAAATCCATCACCATCTCCTTGGTCTTCCCCGCGTTGATGAGGAGGTGGTTCCGCTGACCCGCGGGCCGGATCCGGCCTGCCAAGAGATTTGACACGGGCCGTGGCTCATTTATCCATCCATCCATCCATTTTCTACCCTTTAATCCATTTCTGGGTCAGGGGGGTGGCAGTCAGAGATGCCACCCAAGTCTCATAGCACCAGCCCCTCACTGACCCTCTGCAGGTGGTGAGTCCACAGGAGGACGGCTGCTCTCTGAGTGTGAGCATAGCCTTGATCTTTCAGTGGGGGCTTTGGGCAAAGTGGGGTTAGGTGTCTTGCCCAAGGACACAACGACAGCAGTCATCAGTGGGAGTCGATGGAGAAGGTGCAGAGGTGGGAATTGAACCCACGACCTTCAGGCCTGAAGGCCAATGCTCTACCAACTGAGCTACTGTCGCCCCGTGGCTCATTTATGTAAAATGATAATAATATTTTTTTTATAAAATCGGCTCCGCGACACCGCAGTGCCGTGCTCAGCACTGAGTCCAGTGCGTCTGTAGTGGCTCCACCAGAGTGGTGCTGAAGGAATAATATCTCAAAGTACGAGACTCTGTAAAAAATACGGCACTTTGAGCGGAGAATTGAGAAGACAGAAGATAAACATGTCTGGCCCTGAAGAAACAGCAGTCTGTGTGTCCCAGAGCAAGAGGTTAGTGCTGCTGTAAAGACAAGCTAGCTTAGAGCTAAAAACATAGCATTAGCATCGCAGGCGCACAGTGAGAGAGTTTGTCAAAACTCTCTTACAGGCTGCAGACATGGTCTGAGAAACCACACGCTTTTACCAACATGTTGCCATTGATAAGAGACTGATGTTACTGATGTCGCATATTCATTTGAGGTGTTACTGAAACTATCACAGAGGAGTTTTGAGCGCTGCAGCTGGTGCTGCTGCTGGTTCTGCTGTTGTTGCTGGTGCTGTTGGACAGTGTGGACTGGTCCTGCGCTCTCTGGTACCGACGGTAAAAGCAGGTGTAGTGACAAATCTGCAAATAGAGGTGATGATTTTTGGACGTTTGACTGTATTTTACACAGAGACACTGCTGCAGTCGTTAAAGGAGCAATATGTAATATTTGCATTTCAAGTCATCATTAAATGACCCGAATATTTCAAAAGGCGTTATTAAATCATACTCTTTTCGAATTCATCTTTAACTGATAACAGTAGTTCAGCCGAGATATTTGATTATCAAAATTAGTTTTACGACCCGTAAAAGTTGTTATTGTTTTGATTTTGATGTCCTACCCTCCGCCGTTTCGCCAATCAGGAAGTGTCATGTAAGTCCGTGATCGTGTTGCCAGAACTCCGCGCGGCTCATTAATCTCAGTGGTAAAATAACATGTGGCGCAGAACTAAAAAAGGTCTTGTTATGACTCTCAAATCATTAATGACAAAACAAAGACTAAAACGAGGATTTATATCGGGATGCCTTTGAACAATTGAGACAGCTGATAAAAGTTCACGTGTGATGCAGAATTTTCTAGTTTCACTCCGTTCTTCACAGTATCTCTATTCGTGTGAATCGGTGATCTAGTGGTCTAAACTGTGCGCTTACGACGCAGGAACCCGGGTTCGATCCCGGGCTATGTCTTTTTGTATTTATTGCATGTTATCACATTCTATGACAGATTGCTCTAAAAACGGTAAAAGATGAAGGTCAAGACCTTTTTTTGCAGATTATAGCTTAATTGTAAAAATAATCATTTAAGACCACATGTACCCCAATTAAAATAATGTTAGTCTCTTTTTGATGTGGGACTTTTACATGTTTGTCTAAAAAATAGGGAATAAATAAAATTGAAAGGTGATATCCTCTTGAGCAAACCCTGATGTTGATACGCTGAAGAAATACGTTCCAACATCCATTCTTCCCACTCCTATTTTGGACATCAATTGCTTATTTATTTTGCATAAACTATGTATAATTACATTGCTTTTATTTTGTTTTTGTTTTTTATCTCAAATGTCCAAATAATAATAATAAAAAAACATTAATCAAAACATTCATTCAGCATTAGCACGGCTGTCATGGCGATGTGAATGGAGACGGACAAACAACTGATAAAATAATTCCCTGTGTTTGCTGCTGGATTTGGTGTGAATCTGGCAACCTGAGTCAGGGAGAGTGGGAGAGGACTACAAAATATTGACTGTGACTGCAGTACCACTTTTGGCCAGATTTTTACATATTGCTCCTTTAAGAATGGATCACGTTATGGAAGTTGTTTTGTTCAATTCAACTGAAACATGGTCAGTTTGATGCTTTCTCTGTGACAATAACATAACCATGGACTTCCTTACCACACTGAATATGATTAAGCTGAGGTGCTGTGTTAAAGTGCTTTATTCTATCTACCTACTTTACCTTTGTGAGTATTGTAGTTTCCCAGGGGCCGTCTCCCGTAGCCAAGTTTAGAGCTGTTCATTACGGTGTTAGGAGCGGAGCCTGTGGGAGTGTGTCATGTCATCCGTCATTCATCCTGTGTGTATAAGTTCTGTGTTCGTCTATGCAACGTGAGTATTGTGTGCCAATGTGTATTTTCTTGTATCTCAATGTATAAACCTTTAATTGCTGCGCTCCCTACTTGTAATTACAATTTGTTGTCGTGTGCCACGTGCATGTCTGTAGGAGCGTCTATCACATTGAGGCACGCTGAATAATAAGCCCTGCTTTATTTGTATATTATACGTATTTGCCCATTTCTGTTGCACATGTAGTTTACGGTTTATAGAGGTAGAGCACCCCCTTATGGGGGATTTTCGTAATTCCACTCAGTTATTACAGTGTATCTGTGTTTATGGTCGAAAAGGCTATTTCTAATGTACACACATCCTTTCTGTTCATTCCAGATAACCACACCCAAACACATAAATCCACACCTTCATCTGCAATATTCCTGTGCCCTCCTCTGCAATAAACATCCCAACTGTGTACCTGGAGTTTTCCTGTTCCTTCTGACCGAGGAAGACTCAGTTGACAGCTGTTTCTGTTATCAGCGCATCCAGACGCTCACAGTATTTCACAATTTGACTCTTTTCAAGGCGTGTGCACGTGAGAGATAAAGGAGAGGTCTACACGAGTCCTGCTGAGTCATAGAGGTGGATCTGTTGTCGACACAATGGAAAGTGTGAGTGTGTGGTGTGCACTGCTGCTCTGCTCTCTGTCAGGAGCTGAACTTGTGCCAGAGCAGCCTCAGCCCTGTCCAACAGACCTCCACGCTGTGCTGCGAGAGATGATCAGGATCCAAGGTCAGACTCAACACTTCTATCCACCGCTGCTCATGACTCAGAAGGTAATCTATGTTTGCATCTGTGCTTCTAACGTGTATGTTTGGGGCTGTTCCAGTTCAAGATTCCAAACTGACAGAGCTCCAGAAGCAGACCAGTGAGCAGCTAAAGGAGCTCCAGAAGCAGACCAGTGAACAACTCAGAAGTACTATGTATTGTTCTTTCTTTTTCCTGAGCAGAGTTCTGAGGCTGACAGTCGTGTGTCTTGTGTCCATCTTAGGCCAGGCCACTGAGCTGAACAGTGTGAAGGCTCGCACCAACGAGACTGAAAACCAAGTGGCGTCACTTAAAAGAGAGAGAGAAGGTGAGACTGGAGCTGATAATTCACTCTGACATTCATACACGAGGAGGTCCAACAGAACTAAGGCTTTCAAGGTTCAGAGTTTTGATTGTCTGAGGGTCATTTAAGTAAGTTGGGCTCTACAGCATTGTTTCATTATGTTCAGCAGTCCTTGTGAGAAATCAAACATACACCTTTGTTTTATTCAGTCGCTGATTTTGCAAATGTGTCTCATTTCCAGTTGGACAAGTGGCTTTCTCCGCCTCTTTATCGGCCGCAGGCTCAGTAACCCTCGGACCATTTAACACTCACACTAATCTGGTGTTCAAATATGTGGTCTCAAACATCGGGAATGCCTACAACCCAAACACAGGTAACTCACATGTTTCACAGATCTGACAGAACAAAGACTTTCCCTCCAAAACATAAATGTGTTTTTGAACTGTTGTGGAATCATACGCTGGGTTCGGAGAGTCCAGACTTCAGCCAAGAGCACTTTTGCGTTGGAACCATGTTTGATTAGATTTAAAAACAAATGTCATACTACACGAGTGGTTAGCACTCTCACCTTTCAGTACGAAGGTCCTGGGCTCCATTGGAGTTTGCATGTTCTCCCCGTGTCTATGTAGCAGTGTAGACTCTGGGGCCATGATTCCTCTGACAAAGACATTCTGAAATCTCAGTGGGACTTTCCTGGTTAAATACATGTGAATAATAAAAAGTGATGTAGACTGAGGCCAATGCTGCCTGCAGTTCTTTAGATGTATCTGAGCAGTTTATTCCCTGAACGGTCATCACTGGTCACAGTTTTGTTCATTTGGGGATCAAAGCTGCAATCATGGGTTCATTTTTCATCCGTTAATCTTTTCACATGGGAACTGTATTTTCACAAACATTTACCTCATGATTAGAAAAATAAAACCAGATAAATATCAGACGGAGGTAAAAGCTTTTCCATGAAACTGTCTGTGTTTGTTACTAACACTATAATCGTCTCTATCTCCTTCAGGATTCTTCATTGCACCGGTGCGAGGGGCCTATCACTTTGAGTTCTACATCGGGGCTCATGGTTCTTCACATGCTTCTGCAGCAGGACTAACAAAGAATGGACAACATATTTTTATTGCTTATGAACATCAGACAAATGGTTACGGCAGCTCATCTAACGGAGCCACACTGCTGCTGGAGCCTGGAGATGTTGTGTTTCTGCGTCTTTGGTCCAATACAAGAATCTTTGATAATGACTATCACCACAGCACTTTCAGTGGTCACCTGCTGTTCTCCATGTGAGACTTTACCTTCAGGTTTTTCATTTAAGGACAGATTGTGTTTTTGTCTGTTTTAGCATAAGACTTTCTTTATTATGTACAGAATCTTAAATCTCAATATTGTTTAAAACTGTCACTTTGAAGTAATCACCAACAGGAACTAAAATATGGTACTATTTAAAATACCAGTCTATACTTGTGTGTTGTGTTCAAATAAAATGTTTTGTACTTTACCTTTTTGTGTGAGATTTATAACACATTATTGACAAACTTCACATTATCTTTGTCGGACTCCACGACTGTAAATAAATGGAACATGCTAAATCACATTTGGGCGGCACGGTGGCTGAGTGGTTAGCTCTCTCGCCTCTCAGCAAGAAGGTCCTGGGTTCGAATCCCGGTCGGACCAGGGTCTTTCTGGGTGGAGTTTGCATGTTCTCCCTGTGTCTGCGTAGGTTTCCTCCGGGTACTCCGGTTTCCCCTACCTCTAAAAATATGTACAATAGTTCTGGCATGTGCCTCCTGTACTGGCCCCGCTCCCATCTCTGTGTGGAGCGAGAGACAAATGCCCAAAAACAACAATTGTAAACTACTTTGTGACTCTGGTCTGTGAAAGGCGGTATATAAATAATGATTACTTACTTACTCACTAGCTAAATAAAGCCAAGTAGAGAAGTGCTCATGGACAAAGACTGAAGTGCTCTAACTCCTATTCACTTACATGTATCGGTGTACATGGACCGTTGTGGTAAAGAGGGAGCTGAGCCGAAAGGCAAAGCTCTCGATTTACCGGTCAATCTTCGTGACTCTGCTCCTCGAGGCTGACGATGGTGTGTTTCTGCGACTATGGCAAAATACTCGAATCCATGATAACCAGAATATCCATTGCATATTCAGTGGGCACCTGCTTTTTACCATGTAAGAAATGAAAAGTGTGCACAGGGTTTTATGTATTAGATTATGCTTCACGTCTGTTCCTTTTGTATCCTGTTTGTGTCTTTGAAATAAATACATATTTTCACATCGGCCTGAATTGTGCATAATACACACTCTTTCAAGAAACACTTGACCCACAGTATTATACAGAAGTGTTTCAGACTCGACTCTGCTCGGCCTACCATAGACTGTAGTAGTAAGTTATCTGTATTTAAACAGCACCTTTCACAGACCAGAGTCACAAAGCACTTAACAACTGTTGTAGCATTGGTCTCTGACTCCACAGAGAGATGGAGGCAGTGCCGGCGTGGCTAATCGGGAGAGCCGGGAGGTTTCCCGATGGGCCGGTTGGGCTAAGGGCCGGTGGGCTGGATGTTGTATGTTGCTGGTTGGACTTGGCCGGCGGCCGTGCTTTCCTGACACCGCTGTTCACCGCAGCCTTCTCGGACCTGTCGCTCGCCCGTGCGCACTGCCTCTCTCTCTCTCTCTCTCTCTCTCTCACACACACACGCACACACGAGTAAACAGCACACACACTTCTGGCTAGTCTCATTTGGCCGCTTTCATTGGTTACGATGTGTTCTGCAACGGCCTGATTGGTTGTCTGTAGATTGTAGGCGGGACTAACCGAGAGCGCGGGCCATAGATCAGGTTGAATGACAGATAGAACTGAAGCAAGCGCCGTTTCTCACAGACATGACATCTGTCCAACACGAGTGTTTTTAAAATGGAAAGGAACAAAATCAAGGGCGGAGCAGAAAAGATTAGAATAAAAAAAAGGAAAGCTCTTGAAGCTGAAGCAGCCAAATGTGCAAAGTTGGTAGTTTTTTTCTATAAAAAGTGCTCCGCCGATGAAGAGGCATCAGACCGCGGTAAGCTAGCAAAAAAAACATGCAAAACACTGTGGCAAAACATGACGACGTGATTCCCTAAATGATTAGCACTCCGTCATTACATTTATTGCTTCTTGGGTCCTCAGATACAACAATCGTTCATTCATATTAATGAAGAGCCTCAGGAATGGGCAGGTAAAAACCAAAAAGAAGATTGTATTTTTAATCAAATTTGACTAAGCCACTAAGGCCATGAATTTATTTATTTCATAATGTATAATGTATATTGCATAAATTACATTTTTAACTTCTTTGTACATTAGGAAAGTAACAGTTGAATATTTTGTGTGTTTGTCAAAAGATGTGAAGCATTTATGCTCATATCTACAGAAAAGACATCCTTTGTCATTGGATAATGACAATTATCATAAACAAGTCACTTCTACAGAGTTTACTCATGTTTTAATGTGCTTAATTTTGCTATTGTTTATTTGGGTTTGATTGATTTAAATAGTGTGCAGTTTGTGTTTTCTCGTCTTGATAGAGGTTAACATTTAGTTTGCTTTTAGTTCTCCCCTGGGACAACATTCAAGTACGTTAAGATTAATTTTGGTTTTGTATAAAGTTGTACCAAGCACTGTTTTGTCTTAGTGTTGTATTTGCATTAGTCTTTGTTTTTGTTTAGTCTTGAAAGGAGGATGATAGTTTAATGGTTTCGAGTCAATTCAATGTATTATAAAAAAAATATAGCCAAATCTTTGTGAATGACAATTATTTGAATGAAAATTGACATTGTTCTAAAATTTGTGAAATTCATGCTTTTTATATCCACATAAGTCTAGGGTCAGTCTAAAATTTGCTACAATTCATATTGTGATACCAGAATATTCAAATATCATGATTTATTCAAATGCATTATTGAGTTATTTTGTGACTAGCACTGAGAAGTCTAAAGGAGTGAACGAAGAATAATTTTAATACCATTAGTCTTGTAATTTACAAAACTTGATTTTAGGCCACCTGCTGGTTGTTATGGATATTACAACAGCAGGCAGTTCAGTTTTTTTTTTTGATAGACTACTTTATCAGAAGGGCCGGTCTGACCCAGAATTCCCGGGCCAAAAAATTGTCCCACTCCGGCCCTGGATGGAGGTAAGTTCGCCAGTACCATAGATATATATATTTATTATATGACTTGGATCGTGCGCTCTGATTGGCTGATTTGCGGTGTGATATTATCCCATCTCGGACCGTTACCATGACAATTGGTCCGCAGCACGTATCAAATTTGATATCTTTCCTCGGTAAAAACTAAATAATGAGTGAATTCTATTCTCCGGACGAGTTCGAAGAGCCAATAACAGCAAATAACGACAAAAACACAACTCCTGACTGTCAAGACGAGATTGACAACTTCGTTACAGACCAGAAAGGTAAAAACAGGATTAGGAGCATACTTCACAAATATGTAAAAAGCATTGGTAAGGACACAGACTGAGAACTGTAGCGGGCGTCTCAATCCTCTGATCAGTTCTTCATGTCACAGTTTGACACTTTGGCTGCATGTGTTTTTGCTAGTTGAACCCGATCAATATTTGTATAAATTAAAAATAGTTATGTAATAAAACATGTATCAGTAAGTAAGTAAGTAAGTAAGCTTTATTTATATACCGCCTTTCACAGACCAGAGTCACAAAGCGGTTTACAATTGTTATTTTTTTGGGCACTTGTCTCTCACTCCACACAGAGATGGGAGCGGGGTCGCCGAACAGGAGGCGCATGCCAGACCTATTGTACATATTTTTAGTGGTAGGGGAAACCGGAGTACCCGGAGGAAACCTACGCAGACACGGGGAGAACATGCAAACTCCACTCAGAAAGGCCCTGGTCCGGCCGGGATTCGAACCCAGGACCTTCTTGCTGAGAGGCGAGAGTGCTATCCACTCAGCCACCGTGCCACCCATCAACCTCGTTTGCTCGGTCCGTACAGAGAAATATCAGACATCACTCTGTACATACCACGCGCTCATTTGATAAGCCTTTAATAAAGAGTAGACGCCACATTAGCAACTGAGGAACGAGAAATGCGGCTGCCATCTTGGACCATGATCCTACAGCGCGATGCCGGAGCACTGTGCGGCGTATGGCTGTTAATGAAGGCGGAATATTCAAAACAGGGCTCAGGGATTACTTTCCACTTTTTACCTGCGCCGTAGACACTAGAGGAGGCGGCCTGTTCGTAACAGCACTGCCCCTCGTTCTGTGATTGGAGGAGAGCGATCGTCACTAAGTCTCTACTCTGCACTTGTTACGGTCTGAATTCAATCAATGAGCTCAAGTTTTCAATTAAATTAGAGCTTTTAATACAACTTGTATGTAGTAATATGCATTATTATGAACACATTAGAAAATAAATCGGTTATAGCTCCTTTAATCCACATGTTTGGCCCATTTTCCTCAATAAAACACTGATGACCAAAAACCAAAAGATGGCGCCTCGTACGGTCGACACGGCTCTTTGCTGCTCTCTTTTTTGCTCTCCAACAGCGATGAGTCCGCCTACAGGAGGGAGGTGGACCGGCTGGTGTCCTGGTGTCTCCTACAGGAGGGAGGTGGACCGGCTGGTGTCCTGGTGTCTCCTACAGGAGGGAGGTGGACCGGCTGGTGTCCTGGTGTCTCCTACAGGAGGAGGTGGACCGGCTGGTGTCCTGGTGTCTCCTACAGGAGGGAGGTGGACCGGCTGGTGTCCTGGTGTCTCCTACAGGAGGGAGGTGGACTGGCTGGTGTCCTGGTGTCTCCTACAGGAGGAGGTGGACCGGCTGGTGTCCTGGTGTCTCCTACAGGAGGGAGGTGGACCGGCTGGTGTCCTGGTGTCTCCTACAGGAGGGAGGTGGACCGGCTGGTGGTCCTGGTGTCTCCTACAGGAGGGAGGTGGACCGGCTGGTGTCCTGGTGTCTCCTACAGGAGGGAGGTGGACCGGCTGGTGTCCTGGTGTCTCCTACAGGAGGGAGGTGGACCGGCTGGTGTCCTGGTGCAGTGGTAACAACCTGGAGCTGAACGCCCAGAAGACAGTGGAGATGATTGTGGACTTCAGGAAGAGCACTGCCCCCCCGCCCCCACCCTCCGTGATGGACTCCCCCATCACCTCTGTGGAGTCCTTCCGTTTCCTGGGCACCACCATCACCAGGACCTCAAGTGGGAGCCGACCATCAGCTCCTCATCAAGGAGGCCCAGCAGAGGATGTACTTCCTGCGGCAGCTCAGGAAAGCCAAGCTGCAGTTCTACACGGCCAACAACCTCCTCCATCTTAACCTCCTCCATCACCTCCTCCATCACCTCCTCCATCCCCTCCACATCACCTCCTCCATCACCTCCTCATCACCTCCTCCATCACCTCCTCCATCACCTCCTCATCACCTCCTCATCACCTCCTCCATCACCTCCTCATCACCTCCTCCATCCCCTCCTCATCACCTCCTCCATCACCTCCTCCATCACCTCCTCCATCACCTCCTCCATCACTTCCTCCATCCCCTCCTCATCACCTCCTCCATCACCTCCTCATCACCTCCTCCATCACCTCCTCCATCACCTCCTCATCACCTCCTCATCACCTCCTCCATCACCTCCTCATCACCTCCTCCATCACCTCCTCATCACCTCCTCCATCACCTCCTCATCACCTCCTCATCACCTCCTCCATCACCTCCTCATCACCTCCTCCATCCCCTCCTCATCACCTCCTCCATCACCTCCTCCATCACCTCCTCCATCACCTCCACTGAGCCAAAGCAATTTCCAAGTCTGTGACCTCCTGTTACTTACGTGGCAATAAAAATATTCTGATTCTGATTCTGATAAAACCCCTTTCCTTCTCTTTGGCCACTAGAGGGAGTGGTGGAGCAGATGTGAAGCTTCCACACCTGTATCCACACCATTCATTCTGCCTTTAACGTTTCTACTTCATGTTAAGGATCAGAGTGAGACTCGAGTGGAAATCATGACTTTATCTGGAAGAAAACAGACTGAAGAAGAGATGAACTAATGTTAAATCTCTTCATTTAAAGCTGCGGTTCTAAACTGTGTCAGAAAATCCATAGTTCTCTCTCTGACAGTTTGGTTCTTTCACTCGTTTTCTCATGTGTTTTTAATGTGTGTAAAGACATCCACAGACAGACACACACAGAGACACACACACAGACACACACACACAGAAACACAGAGACACACACACACACACACATACACACACACACACATCCACACACACACACACACACACACACACACACACACACACACACACAAACCATTATTTTTGGCCTTTAAAACTAATGAGGACTGAGACATGAATAAACTTCTTGATTTATGAACATTTACATAAAGTTCAATCTGTTTTTTGTTACAATAAAGATTTGAATCCTGTGCATAAAATCTGACATTATTAAAAAAACTACAGGTTGCCATGGGAACAGCCCCCCCTCTGTTCCGGATCCCGATGTCAAAGCCGGTTGCTAGGTTACCAAGTTATGTCAAAGCAGCGATGACATCACAAGGCCCAGAGAAACGATGGCCAAGGGGCAACGTCACGTCTCAGACACAGGTTTTTAGACACAGACGTGAGTATGGACCATATTGCATTAACCATGGAACGTCAGGAGCTGGGAGACGTCGTTCCCAAAGACAACAACCACATTAGAAAGATCCTGTCACAGCTGGACCAGGACCTGCAGGAGTTTGAAGAGATGTTTGAGCAGAGATCTGAGACTCCGTGGCTTTGTGGCAACTCTCAGAGCGAGGCGGACCTCCCACAGTCCACCTGGTCCACCTGCGGGACACAGACTGAGACCTGGTCCACCTGCGGGACACAGACTGAGACCTGGTCCACCTGCGGGACACAGACTGAGAGCTGGTCCACCTGCGGGACACAGACTGAGACCTGGTCCACCTGCGGGACACAGACTGAGACCTGGTCCACCTGCGAGGGTCAGACACAGACTGAGACCTGGTCCACCTGCGAGGGTCAGACACAGACTGAGACCTGGTCCAACTGCGGGACACAGACTGAGACCTGGTCCACCTGCGGGACACAGACTGAGACCTGGTCCACCTGCGGGACACAGACTGAGACCTGGTCCACCTGCGAGGGTCAGACACAGACTGAGACCTGGTCCACCTGCGAGGGTCAGACACAGACTGAGGACCACAAAGACCTACATGTCAAAGAGGCAGAGTTAAAGGCAGAGTTGGAGCTAGCAAGAGAAAAGTTAGCGAGTATCCTGAGTATCAGGAGGTTTGTGCAAAACTGATGCAGCTGCAAAGTTTGAATCACAGTCTGGAGAAAGATCTGGAACAAGCCAACAACAGCTCTCGTAGACATGAGTCCGAGCGTCAGGAGGCCTGTGAGACACTGAGAGAGCTGCAACTTTTACATGAGAAAGTCTGTACGGAGCACTTTGAGGAGCTGAAAAGTGTAAATCAGTGTTTGGAACAGCAGGTCTCTGTTTGCAAAAGTCTAGAGAAACAGAAAAGTGAGAATGCGATACAAAGAGAGAAGATTGAGACACTCGAACGCCAACTCCAGGACTTTGAAGAGCTGAAAGAGAAGTACTCTTGGTCCGTTAATCAGAATCAAAGTCTGGAGAGAGAGTTTAAGGAGCACCAGGAGGAGCTGAAAATGGTAAATCAGTGTTTGGAAGAGCAGGTCTCCGTTTGCAAAACTCTGGAGGAACAGATGAAGGAGAATTCGATCCAAAACAAGAGGATTGAGATTCTGGAACATCAGCTCCAGGAGTTTGAAGCATTGAAAGAGGAGTTTTCTTGGTCTGTTAAACAGAATCAGAGTCTGGAGAAAGAGTTGGAACGAACCAAAGAAATCTCATGTAAACATGAACCAGAACGTAAAGAGGCTTGTGAGATTAATGAGACTGCAAATCAATGCAAGAAGATTGAGATGCTAGAACGCCAACTCCAGGAGTTTGAGCAGATCAAAGAGGAGTATTCTTGGTCTGTCCGACAGAACCAAAGTCTGGGGAGAGAGTTGGAACAAGCCAAAGAAACCTCACGGAAACATGAGGCTGAACTTCAGGAGGCTTGTGAGAAGTTGGTAGGACTAAAACTGTCACAGAAGAAGGTGCTTGAGGAGTACCTCGAGGGGTTAAGAGTTTTCAAGAAGATGTTTAAGGAGCAGGACGAAGTTCGCAAACAGTTGGAGCAACAAATTAGCGAGAAGGACCTCCAGGAGAAGCCGTGTATGTGTCAAACTGTAGCTAGCACAGAGACGCTAACAGATTTACAAGACGTGAGAGAGGAGAACTCTACGTCCAATGTCCAAACAATAAGGACCTTTTTGGAGGAACCGCAGACGAGTGCAGACGGGCCCAGACCTCAGAGTTGGAAGGATGATTGCACAAAGAGAAATGTGAAAAATCTGACACAGTTATTTGAGGGTAAACCTAAGCAGGACAAGCAGCAGCAGGTGTCTGAGCTGAAGAGGAACCAGGTGAAGGGGAAGAACGTTGCAGCGCTGATGAAGAGGTTTGAGCAGTAAGAGAAAGACACATTCTCAGCAGCACAGGTCAGACGCTGTAGCTGCTACTTCAAACCTCAAGTCTGACTAAAGGGAACAGAGGGACTTTGGTAAAAGAATGAGACATGGCTGATATATCCCTCTGGTCTCTCTCTGGTCTCTCTCTTCAGCCTCTGTTTTTGGCCTTCTCTTTCTGGTCTCTCAGGCTGCTTGAAGCTGTATGTTTTAGGACTTCTCAAAGCAACATTGTCAGAAAGACACTGAGGGAAGGACTCTCATCCTGGAAATATAGATTGTAAGCAGCAGGTTGCACTGGATCAGGGCATCAGGCTGTTTGTAGCTGTAGCTTCTGAGGTGGAGAGTCCAACTCCTTCTCTGCATGTAGGAGCCATTACTTATTGGTTCGTGGGTATGGTTACTATGGCAACGTGTCAGGGGGCATGCGTCACGTGGGCATGGGTGTCGTGCCAGGAGTTTTTAAAGGCTTCCTGCTCAGTGACAGGGAGAGGGGAGAAGACGGGTAGCCGTATTTTTCGTCAACTGCACACTTTTGTACCATACTCTTTTGTTTCCTGTTTTACTCAAAGGCCTGTATCATATTCACTGTAACAATCAGGAACCGTTGCTAAAATTAAATCCACAAAACGCAGTACGTGCCTCCAGCGTGTTCTTTACAATCGGCTGCGTGTCATCCATTACACTGGACCCGCCCTCTTCTCTCCAGAAGCAACAGAGTTTTGGGTCGCTACACTGCAGCCTTCAGAGGTGTTTGGAACAACTGAGAAATGTACAACTTAAAGAATTCTTCACCAGCAACTGTCCTCTGGTGTCTCTCTGGTGTCTCTCTGGTGTCTCTCTCTGGTCTCTCTCTGGTCTCTCACTGGTCTCTCTCTGGTCTCTCTCTGGTGTCTCTCTGGTCTCTCTCTGGTCTCTCACTGGTCTCTCTCTGGTCTCTCTCTGGTCTCTCTCTGGTCTCTCTCTGGTGTCTCTCTGGTCTCTCTCTGGTCTCTCTCTGGTGTCTCTCTGGTGTCTCTCTCTTGTCTCTCACTGGTCTCTCTCTGGTGTCTCTCTGGTGTCTCTCTGGTGTCTCTCTCTTGTCTCTCACTGGTCTCTCTCTGGTGTCTCTCTGGTGTCTCTCTCTTGTCTCTCACTGGTCTCTCTCTGGTCTCTCTCTGGTGTCTCTCTGGTGTCTCTCTCTTCTCTGGTCTCTCTGTCAGGGAATTATCACCAGGCACCAAGCGTAGTGACTGACATATCAGAGACCAAAAAACCAAAACAAACCGAAAGTCCAGAAACTGATTTCACCTCTAGAGGCCAACTCCTGTTCCTACAGATAGCTCAAAGAAGGACACTGTAGTTAAGAGTTTTAACGTGATCACGGGGAAGACACTTCAAGCCATTAGACTGCAAGCAGAGTAATCTCCCGAAGCCTCTTTTCCGCATCACAGCTTTTATTTTACACAAGAAAAGCAGGCGCGGTTACATTTTCACAATACCATATATAGTAATGATAGCTAGGTTTATTGGTGCAGTTGGTGCGTCTTAGTGACGCCCCCCCAACTCAAGCGCGAGCAGTTTCAAATTAGCAGAAGTGAAAGTTTCCGTTGGTCTATCAGACAGAGAACTGTTGCAGACTGTTGCAACTGACATCCTGTTTCCCTCTGCACACACACTTTCACATCCTGTTTCTCTGCAAAATACCTACACATCCTGTTTCTCTGCAAAACACTTTCATGACATTTGGTTCAACTTCATAATGGCAGTTCTGCTTTATAAATGCAAGCATCAATAAACAAACAAATAATAAAACCTGTACATAAACCCTTGACATTCTTTCACAATTTCCCCCTGTTTAAACAAATTTCACAGAAAGTGTTCCGAGGCTAATCTTCCCGTTAGGGTTTGGATTAGCTCCTTCATTAATTTCGGAGAATTTGTACAACATGGGTTACTCTCTATCTACGTCCAGGATCGTCGTCAGACAAGTCATCATCTGGGTCCAGTATGTCAACATCAATCAAGCGTACCTGTTCTTGAAACATCAGTCCTTCCAGTGGTTTCAGAGCGTTGGACATCATTTTTTTTATTACAACACGAAATAATGGGATACAGCAACATATGAAAGCAATAAGACATACTAGGATTATAGCCAAACCCAGAAAAATTGCCTTAGCTAGGTCTTTATATTTGCCGAACCGGCCAAACCAAGACTCCAAGGCATTGTTGACACCAGAATGAGCATTCATCTGTAAATTAAACTTCTCCAATCCTTGTAGAACTTGTGTCAATTTTCCTCCTGACTGTGTGTTATTTGGAATAGCAGTACAGCACTGACCATCTGGGAACAGGGAACATACCCCTCCCTTTTCGGCCAGCAACATATCTAGGGCGATTCGGTTTTGAAATGCCATGAGTGAGGTTGCTTCCAATTGCTCATGGACAGCTTTCAGTCCCGCCAGGGTGTAATTCCCTAGAACTTGAACATTATAATGAATGTAATTGATGCGGTCAACATTCTTATTTATCACAATTTGTGGAATCAGACTTTCAAAACCAGAGGCGATGGGGTCAGCTAGTTTATATTCATTTGGCACTCCTCTGGGAACCCCGATGGCATCTATATAAGTGGGGTTGTGTGCTGGGAGCCAGTCTAATGCCTCTCGTTTGACCCTAGTCATGGGATTGGGTAGCTGTGGTTTGACAATAGGCCTACTTGCAAGCAGCACATCGAAGTCTATCTCATATATGGAGGTAGAAATGATCAGAGTGACCAGTGCACAGCGACCTGTGGTGGGGAGTTTGTCACGCAGTACTGTTCCTCCACACCACCACCACAGGTCTGCCCTGGACACCGTTGTCACACCCTGTTTCCTGTGTATGGTTGTTTGACAGTACTTAGGGGACAACATAGTTTCTTTTGACTCACCGGGTGTGCCTCTGTCACCTATGATCAGGATACATGTGAAATTCATGAAAGCCGCTTCGGAGTTAAACATGGGTGTCCCTGTGCTTGGGGGAATCACTGGAAAAGTTTCAGCATATTTTTTAAGGTCAATATCTAAAGCAGTCTGCGTCATTAGGTTGAGCACATCCACATTGTTGGGTAGTGGGGCGGGGACTACACGTACTGGGGGTCGTGGTCCCATGCACACTACACAATCTCTGGATTGTCGCTTTGCTGCTTGTTCTGCTATTAACAGCCAATTATTCTGATGGCCTGAAATGCCTGATGTGGTCCTGAACCATGTATCAGTGTTTGTTTCAATAATCACCGCTCCCCTTTTAGCGTAGATCAAGGTGGGAGATGGTATCAGTGTTTCTTTAGATCTATGGACTAGGAGGAAATACACCCCTCCTTTAGATTTGCGCCTCAAAAACCATTCTCTAACAGGGCGGTACCATGTATCTGGTTTATCAGGGTCAGCTTGGTAGTGTCCTGTAACAGTGTTATAGTGCACCCACAACCCCCCTTCTACAGCGGTGTACGGTACAGATGTGGGAGTACCTGGTGGGAACGACAGGGCACCCTGCCATTTAGATTCTACAACCCACTCGTCATGTTGGGTACACCCTGTGGGACGTCTTGCCTGGACATCGGACAGCACGCTACAGGGTATATATAGAGAAAAATTACCCTCAGGGGGTAAACAAAACCCTGGGTCCCTTGTCGCTCTTCTATACAGTTCAGTACATAGTTCTCCTGGGGTCTTCTGTGACTGCTCTGGACCGTTGGCGACGTTGTTGACTGGGGCTGTGAAGGTCAACGTAGCCAGGCCTAGGACTAAGCCTATCAGAACCTGGATCGATCTCATCGTAGCCAGGCCTAGGACCAAACCTATAAAAACCTGGATCGATCTCATCGTAGCGGTTGTGTGTGTCACAGTACCGTTGTTGTTCACAGCTTACCAACGACGTCCTGCGTCTCTCTAGGCGTTCGGGTCAAGTTGGTCTCGGAGCTTGCAATGGGAGAGATGCACCCACGAGGTCCGTCCCTCAATCTTCACTGCCGTGGGGGTGGAGATGGTGACGACGTGTGGACCCTCCCACCGTGGGCTGTTCCAGGACTTCCTCTTTATCACTTTGATGAACACACAGTCCCCTGGTTTCACAGTCCTTTCCTGTTGAGAGAACGGTTCGGAAGGCAATTTATGCACATTTTGAATTTCCCTGCTCTCAAACAGTTGTCTCATATATGTCACCAGGTCTGGACTAGTGTCCGGTCTGTCCTTCTCGGTCAATTGTAAGTCTGGAATAGTGAATGGTCTTCCATACAGGATCTCAAATGGAGACAAAGAGTTCTGGGTGGGTAAAATATGTAGATTAGTTTTTACAAGATCCACACATTGCGGCCACGTTCTTCCTGTGTCCTTAGTAGCTTTGGAGAGTTTATTTTTGATTGTTCCGTTTACTCTCTCTACCAGTCCTGCTGATTGAGGATGGTAGGCACAATGATTTTTCAATGTTATTCCCAAATGTTCACCTATACGATGGATTACTTCATTAACAAAATGAGCACCACAGTCTGATCGTATAATCTGAGGAATCCCAAAGGTCGGTATTATGGTTTTACAGATGGCCTTAGCCACTGTGAGTGAGTCATTACTTGCCGTAGGAAACATTCTACCCACTTGGAGAATGCATCAATTATTACTAAACAATACCTTAGTCCATTAGTTTTGTTTAGTTCTATGTAGTCCATGTGTATTGTGTGAAATGGGTGTGGAGGCTCTGGGAACCTCCCTCTCTGTGGTCTCGCTGCTCCCTGGGAATTGTTTCGAATACATATCAAACATTGTTTACAAAAATTTTTTGAATATGTATTGTATCCTATTGTTGTGTAGTATTGGTTCACTAATGAAGTCATTCCCCCTGTTGACACATGGCAAGGACCATGAGTCAATTTACTAGCCCAATTAAACAGAGATTTAGGGAGCCATGGTTTTTTATCATCACCCACATAGAGTCCATTTTCTATCACACACCCTTTTGCTTTCCATGTAGCTTTTTCTGAGGTTGTTGCA